AGCGAGTTCTTAACCATCGCGCCACTCGGCCAGCCCTTAAAAATTTTTTTATTGTGATTAAAGAAACAAAATTTCCGGTGCCGGCCGAGTGGTTCAGTTGGTTGAGCTCACTCAAGAGCTAGAGCTCTGATCAACAGCGGTTCGAGTCCCAGCCCGAGCTGAGCTGCCACTGAGCTGAATGGCTCAGCTTAAAAAAAAAAGAAAAGAAACAAAATTTCCAATCTTAACCATTTTTAAGTGTACAGTTAAGTAATGTTAAGTCTGTTCACATTGTCACGAAACAGATTGCCAGAACTTTTTCATCTCATAAATCTGAAACTCTGTACCCAACAAACCAATCCCTTTTCCTCTCCCAGCTCCCCATCCTCTAGTAACTACCATCCTTTTCTTTTCTATGAATTTATTTTAGATACCTCATATAAATGGAATCATTTTTTCTTTTTGTGATTGGTTTATTTTACTTAGCATAATGTGTTCACAATTAATCCATGTTGTAGCGTGTGACGGGATTGCCTTCGTTTTTGGGGGGGTTTTTTTTTAGCTGAGCCATCCTGCCCCCTGTTGGCAGCTCAGCTTGGGCCGGGCATCGAACCGCTGTTGCTCAGAGCTCAGACTCTTGAGCAAGCTCTTAACCAGCTGAGCCACTCGGCCGGTCCTCGCCTTCCTGAATGATATTAAAGCTGAATGATATTCCATCATCTGTATATTACCACATTTTGTTTATCCATTCATCTATCAATGGACATATGGGTTGCTTCCACCTCTTGGCTATTGTAAATAGTGCTATTATGCACATGAGTGTACAAGTATCTCTTCAAGACCCTTCTTGCAGTTCTTTTGGATATACTCATACATTCAGAAGTGGAATTGCTGGATCATTTGGTAGCTCTTTTCTGTTTCTTGGATAGTAGCTGTCCTAATAAGTATAAGATGACACCTTATTTTGGTTTGCCTTGCATTGGTGATTAGTGATGTTGAGGCATCTTTTCATATGCTTGTTGGCCATTTGTATGTTATCTTTGGAGTAAAGCCTATTTAAGTCTTTTCCTATTTTCTAATTATTTAACTCTTGTTGAGTTGTAGGAATCTATTACATATTCTAGATATTAATACCTTATCAGATACATGATTTGAAAATATTTTCTACTTTTTATAGGTTGCCTTTTTACTCTGTTGATAGTGTCCTTTGATGCACAAGTTTTTAAGTTAGTTGTAGTCCCAGTTTTCTATTTTTGTTTTTGTTGCCTGTGCTTTTGGTATTATATCCAAGAAATCATTGACAACTCCAGTGTCATGAAGATTTCCACCTATATTTTCCTGTAGGTGTTTTATAGTTTTAGATATTACATGTAGGTCTTTAATTGCTTCTTCTTTTTTTTTTTAGATTTTATTGGGGAATTGGGGGAGGGGAACAGACAAGTTGCTGTCCTTTTGTTCTTCAGTCTAGTTGTGGAGGATGTTGCTTCACTGGCCCATGTTGGTATTGTGATCATGCACTCTTCCCGCTTGTGGCAAATCGGTCACTGGCCACTGGACAGCTGCTCACGGCGGTTCTTGGCAGCTCATGCTGGCTACCAGCTGCTCATGCCGGCTGCCGGCCACTCATGGTATCTTATGGCAGCCCACTGCAGCCTACACTGTCACTGGTCATTTACGGCAGCCCAGCTCCAGGTCGAGCTGTTGTTCACCATGTTAGCTGTAGAGGGCACAGCGTCACTGGCCCTAATGTGGGATCCGAACTGGGGCCCTGCTTCTCAGAGCTGGCGTCTCAAGCCAGCTCTTACCCAATGTGCCACTCGGCCGGCCCTTTAATCCCTTTTCAATTGATTTTTGTTTATAATGTAAGATATGGGTCCAACTTCATTTTTTTGCATGTAGATAACTATTGGGTTGTTGGAAAAGTCATGACGCATTTTTGCAACGAAAAACAGAAAAAAATATGTCATGACTTTTCTGACAACCCAATAGTTTTTCCAGCACTGTTTTTTGAAAAGACTGTCCTTTCCCCATTGAGTGATCTTGGCACCCATATTGAAGATCATTTGACCATATATGCAAGGATTTATTTCTGGGTTCTCTATTCTACTTATTTGGTCTGTTTGTCTTTATGCTAGTATCACATTGTTTTGATTACTGAAGCTTTGTAATACATTTTGAAATCAGGAAAGATGAGTCCTCTCACTTGATTCTTTTCAAAATTATTTTGGCTATTTAGGGTCCTTTGAAATTTCATATAAACTTATGGAATGAATGTTTATATTTTTGCAAAAATGCTATTGAGACACCATATAAACAAAATGAAAAATAAAAATCATATGGTTATCAATAGATGCAGAAAAAGCATTTGACAAAATCCAGTATACATTTATGATAAAAACTGAGCAAAGTGGGAATATAGGGAACATATCTCAACATAATAAAGGCCATAGATGACAAACCCACAGCTAATATACTCAGTGGGGAAAAGCTAAAAACATTCCCCTTAAGATCAGGAACAAGACAATGATGCCTACTTTCACCACTTTTTTTTTTTTTTAAAGATTTTTTTTTTTTTTAATTGGGGAAGGAGAACAGTGTTGGGGAATTGGGGAAGGGGGACAGCCAAGTCTTAGTTATGGAGGGTGCAGCTAGATCAGCTCCAAGTCTAGTAACCATCCGGCACCCCTGTGGGCAGCTTGTAGCCGCTCAGCTCAAGGTGCCGTGTTCAATCTTAGTTGCGGGTGGGCATAGCCCACCATCTCATGTGGGAGTTGAACCGGAAACCTTGTTGCTAAGAGCACACGCTCTAACCACTGAGGTATCCGGCCACCCGTAGGGCATCTCAGCTCAAGGTGCCGTGTTCAATCTTAGGTGTGGGTGGGTGTAGCCCACAGTCCCATGCGGGAGTTGAACCGGAAACCTTGTTGTTAGGAGCACGTGCTCCCACCAGCTGAGCCATCCTGCTACCTGTTGGCAGCTCAGCGGCAGCTCAGCTTGGGTGCAACTCACTGGCCCATGTGGGAATCAAACCGGCAACCCTGTTGCTCAGAGCTTGCACTTGTAACCCACTGAGCTACTTGGACAGCCCCCTACTTTTGCCACTTTTATTCAGCATAGTACTGGAAGTTCTAGCCCACAACATTCAGACAAGACAAAGAAATAAAGGGCATCCAAATGGGAAAGGAGGAAGTAAAAGTGTCATTATTTGCAGATGACATGATACTATACAGAGAGAACTCCAAAGATTCCACCAAAAAACTATTACAGCTGATAAATGAATTCAGTGAAGTAGCAGGATACAAAATTAATATTCAGAAATCAGTTGCATTTCTATACATCAGTAATGAACTATCAAAAAGAGAAATAAGGGGACCGGCCAAGTGGCACATTGGTTAAGAGCTAACTTGGGAAGCCAGAGGGCCCCGGGTCGGATCCCACATATGAGGGCCAGTGAAACTGCACTTTCTACAGCCAAGATGCTGAAGAACAGCTTGACCTGGAGCTGGGCTGCCATGAGTCGCCGGCGACGGTGTAGGCTGCAGCCCCTGTGGCAGGTGGGTTGCCATGGGCTACCGTGTGTAGCCAGCAGCCAGCGTGAGCGGCCAGCAGCCGCCATGAGCGGCCGTCCAGAAGCTGGCGACTGATCTGCCTTGCCTGGGAAGAATGCAATGATGGTGCCAACTTGGGCCAGTGAAGCAACATCCTCCACAGCTAGACTGAAGAACGAAAGGACAGCAACTTGTCTGTTCCCCTTCCCCGAATTCCCCAGCACTGTTCCCATCCCCCAATTCCCCAATAAAAGTCTTAAAAAAAGAAATAAAATCCCATTTAAAATTGCATAAAAAAAAATAGGAGTAAATTTAACCAAGGAAGTAGAAGACCTGTGCTCAGAAATTTTAAGACATTGAAGAGAGAAATTTAAAAAGATACAAATAAATGAAAACATATACCATGCTCATGGATAGAAAAATTAATATAGTTAACACATTGTGAACCGGTGACACAGATTTGCGTTTATATATTTAAATGCTCCGTCCTCAATGTGTTAAAATACCCATACTACCCAAACCAGTGTATAGATTCAGTGCAATCCTTATCAAAATACCAATGGTGTTTTGCATGGAACTAGAATAAATAATCCTAAAATTGATATGGAACCATAAAAGACCCCAAATAACTGTGGCAATACTGAGAAAGAAGAACAAAGCTGGAGGTATCATATACTACCTGATATCAAATTATACTACAAGGCTATACTAATCAAACAGCATGGTATTGGCATAAAAACAGACACATAGATCAATAAAACAGAATAGCCCAGAAATAAATTCATGCCTTTATGGTTATTCAAT